TTTTTTATTCATGTCTCGGTTGAGCCGCATGAGAGCAATCAACTTGCGACATGTTTCTCTCAGGTTATTTTTGAGAAACCCAAGGAGTTTTCAACGCAATTTAGATAGGAAATGATTCACTTTAAGAAAGAAAATAGAGCTGCCCTTTGCTCACGGTATGTTATGAGGACGATCTCTAGTGACTCATAACTTAAATATTAGATGATGCGGAAATCCCTAAAGAAGCATTCTACCTTTTCGTTCCGCGAGAAAATCGTTTTGATGTAGTACAGTGCAGTGTGCCTAAAAAATTTATTAAGATGTGTTTTTCTGGATATGCAGTACATGCGTTATTGTATTACTGAAAACAACGAGTTTCACTCGCAGTTTAATTTCGTTGGTCGCTGCAAGAGCATTCATCCAACAACATTAACTTATCGTAGGACCTAACGTCTCTAATAATTGTTTTTGACTTATCAGTTCCTAAAGGAAGGATTAAAAATTTCTCAAAATTGTCCAGTCACAGTTCCCAAACTAAAAGCAAACTTTCCTCATAATCGAACCACAAGACAGTCTCCTCGAGGAGGATTACAGTATTTATAGGAGGATTCCTAAGAGTACGGTTGCTTTGTATGCGACTTCTGAAGAAATTTTATTCTGACGACTTCTGACTAATTTGTCAAAATAAACAAACACCTGTTTTCCATAGAGCGTACTTACACAAGACCAGTACGTCAGAGACGTCCCAGGAACTACCTGAGCGTCCACACAGATTTGATTTTTGATACGACCTGCGACTTTTTGCGTACTCGGTTATTTCACCATGAATAACGATAAATTGATAACTTTTTCGCACCAGAGGGATCTGAGATATGAGAGACAAAAGTTGTCAATACTAATCTTCCAATATTTCCTTTGGTATCTCTACTAGATAAACGATTGACTTGTTTTGTTTCCACCATTTAATAACAGAAAAGGATTTTCAGAAAAATGAAGTTATTCAGCTTCGTCCATATCTGCTGGGCGGCAGAAACGTACTAACTACCAAAATGTCAGATAACGTACACAGTGTAATTGCCTTGTTCTGATGACGTCATAGTAACCGTAGCCTTTAGTTATGACAACTCGGTCAAGAGTTTTCGCACGGGTATTACGTAAAAAAACCTATAAAACAGAAAAAAAATGTCATCTTGTAGACTAGGTAGTTTTTGGCGGCAAATAGTTTATTCCCCGTTTGCTCGCTATGATCGCTGTGAGTGTCCATCTGTGGAGGAATGACTCAACTAGACGCAATGTTGGTTGCATATGTTTTGTGAAGCCGAGTAGTTTTCATCTCTGAGAAGAAGGTTGGTTGAATAGCAAGAACGCATTTGGATAATTATGTGTATTGGCCTGCATATGTATAAAATCAGTGAAATTTGCTGTGTAAGTAAATTATTATTGAATATGCTGCCTTCAAGTATATCTATTAGCAGTGTTTGACGGGTTATTTATATGTTGACCTTGCGACAAAGTCGGTGTGTGCCGCATTCAAAGACAGGATGTTACCCTCTTCCGTTTTGGTAGCAGACTATAATGGACAGCTTCTTCAAGCCTCTTTCTCATCGACGATCTGTTGGTGATCGTCTCTTCTACCGATATGATACCGTACTTTGCTTCTGTTCTTTCATGACGCAGCGATGCGTTAGGCCTGCCATACGAACCCGGCAGACTTTCGCTGCGCATTTGGACTCCGTACATCAAGAACTGTTCGGTAAGACAGATCCTCTGTTCCTGATTGCGGAACAATATGACCAAGAAAGTTTTTCCCAGATTCTAGTAACTTTAGATAGTTAAGAAATCAATCAAGTTTCTCACATTTTTGTAACAGCTGCTGTACCCCTGTATTTGAGGTTTTGCCTTCGGGCTGTTTCGGTACAAAATTTGCAATGGCTACTCAATTTGTGCTCCCAACCCCTATATTGTTTCTCATTGCTCCCTTCCAGGCGTTCTCAGAAACTTAATAACAAATTTTTCCTGCGTAACACCAAACAAAATCCGTTTCCTCTTACCTTCCATCCCTCTTCGTATTGGGATCATTAGTTCATATCACGCATAGCGATATTCTTCCACCTAGCGCAGTGTTGGTGATTTTTCACGTTTTTTCTCGTGGAAACTTCGCGCTACATCCCGGGGCGTGGAACCGTTCAATCACGAGGCGACGAGACGAATGCACGCTTCGCCGAGCTATTCGACGGTGTTGAATGTGAAGTGATTACACAGTTTCTAATGGACTCGATGGATTATTTATAGGGAATAACTTTCTTTGGACATGAGCTTCTCATCTAGTTTATTCAGATCATTTCCGAAATCAGAGCGATATGCTTTATCGAATATGTATACCGGTGTCCAAGATAAGGATGCTATGCAGTATAAGATAAATTAGGAAAAAGTTGTTTGTGGCATAGGGTGTTTCAGTTTATTGTTGCATAACTTTAAGATTCGATAGAAGTTTTAAAATTAATGCATAAAGTCTATATGAACATGGGTCGAAAAATGCGTGGCTTCCGAAATACAGAGTGTTTAAATTTTTCTTTCTCTAAAATAGTTTTTTTTAAATATTTTGAACAATATTTGATGTATAACAGTGAAAATTGGTATACAAGGGTTTTTTGGTACGACATGGGCATAGTTTTACTGTAGCCGCTAGAGGGCGCTCTCTACTGTACCTACAGTGTTTTAAAATGACCCAAATTTTTTTTCTTAGTGCAATTTTTTGCATTTTCAATAAAAAACTGATTCTTCGCACTTTTCAACATAAACAAGGTCTCTTGTGAATTTTCATTATAGTTAGCCGTTTTTGAGATATTTCGATTTTTAAGGTTCGATGCATTTTTAAGAATCAGTTTTTTTGTTCAAAAAGCAAAAAATTGCACTAAGAAAAAATTTTCGGTCATTTTAATACACTGCAGGTACAGTAGAGAGCGCCCTCTAGCGGCTACAGTAAAACTATGCCCATGATTCGTTTTGTCGTACCAAAAAACCCTTGTATACCATTTTTCACTGTTATACATCAAATATTGTTCGAAATATTTAAAAAAAAATGTTTTAAAAAGTAAATTGAAACATCCTGTATTTCGGAAGCCACGCATTTTTCGACCCATGTTTATAAAGACTTTATGCATTAATTTGAAAAGTTCTATCGAATCTTAAAGTTATGCAACAATAAACTGAAACACCCTGTATACGAGGGCGGTTCAATAAGTACCCGTGTTTGACGACAGAGGGCGTTCCTCCATCGCCCTGTGCTCCCATCAATCAAACAACGGCACAACAAATTTCAGACTGATTGATAGGTTAGTTTGGATTTGGCAGCCATTCGAGTGACACGTGTTTCGTCATTTTCGCTAAGATGGAAAAAGAGTAGCAACGCTTGGTAATTCGCTTTTTGTTTTTGAATGGGAAAAAATGCGAGGAGATAAAAGCAAAGTTGGATGCTGTTTATGGGGACACTTCGCCATCTATGAGCACAGTTAGATATTGGTAAAACGAATTTAAACGTGGGCGAACATCCGTTTATGATGAGGATCGACCAGGACGCCCGGCAGACGTGGTTACCGAGGAAATCATTCAAAAAGTCCACGTCATGATTCTCGCTGATCGACAAACGAAAGTGCGCGAAGTAGCAGATGCCGTAGGTTTGCCGATCGGCACGGCAATCAGTATTTTACATGATAATTTGGTTATGAAAACATTTTCGGACCGATGGGTGCCGCGATTGCTCACGGTGGTCAACAAGCGGATGCGGCTGTTAACTTCGAAGCACTCTGGATTAAAAGAGCGTGGCGGGTCGTCTCTTCAAGCTATCAAGAAATACATAAGCGCTCCTTACAAAGTAGATGCTGAGAAAGTTGCGCTTTTCATCAAGAGGTACTTAAAATCGTCCGTCGCGTCTGGAGCTTTAGTACAGACGAAAGGCAAAGGAGCTTCCGGATCGTTCAAGCTAGCTTCGTCATCGGCTGGCGGAGCGTCGAAAACTTCATCATCATCAGCCGCAAAGGTTGGCGAAAAAAGAAGAAATCCGCGACCGGCTCAAAGAAGAGCGGAACCGTAGCTAAGAGGGCTAGCAGTGCGAAATCGGCGAAGAAGGCATCTCCGAAGGCTAAGAAACCGGCGGTGGCCGGTGGTGCGGCCGAGAAGAAAGCTTCTCCAGCTAAGACAAAGAAAAGTGGGAAATCGGCGACGTCGGCTAAAGCTTCTTCTGCGGCACCTTCTGCAGCGCCTGCAAAAAAATCTCCTTCGAAGGCGAAGAAATCCAGCAAGGGAGCTCCGACCAAGAAGCCAAAAGCACCAAAACCGAAAACGGCGAAGGCTGCAACATCGCCGAAAAGGAAGGCCGCTTCTCCTAAAAAGAAGAAATGTAGACATGTTGCAACGTCGTAGATTACGACTACGTCGGTACGCGACGTTATATTTATGCGAGAGGATGCTATACGTCCCCGCGGATTTATTGATGAATTGCGTTATGAAGTGCTGCCGCATATTCACCCGATCTGCCCCCCTGCGACTTTTTTTTGTTCCCTGACATGAAGAAACGGCTTGCGGGGAAAGCATTTAGCTCAAACGAGAAAGTCATCGCCGATACAGGCGTATTTTGGAGATTTCGCCAAATCCTATTTTTTGGGGGAGTTAGAAAAATGACAGGAAAGTTGGGAAAAGTGTATCCTTCTAAAAGGGGATTATGTTGAAAAATAAAAAGGATTTTTTTGGAAAAAATGGTGTCTTCATTTCTAACACGGGTACCTATTGAACCGCCCTCGTATATGCCGTTGAACTGCCGAAGATTGGGGAAGATCTCCTCAGTGTTTCACAATCTCGATATCCTAGGAACAAAGAAGGGGTCGTATCGGTCAGTTCTGGATGTACGAAGTTCGACATGGTTAGGATAGGAGATCAAAGTCAGATGGGTATGTCGTTGCAAAAGAAGGAAATTGCCATAGCGGCCTTTTTGGACATAGAGGGAGCATTTAGCAATGCCTTACCAGAATTCTTCTGTGAATCAATCGCCTCCAGGGGTGCAAATCCTCTGATTTGTGGTGGATCAAAAGCATGTTGACATGCAGAATCATATCGATATCCTTACTGGGGGAGACACTCAAATTTAGAGCTGCAAGGGGGTGTCCACACTGAGGGGTGTTATCTCCCCTTTTGTGGTCGCTCCTGGTAGATAATCTAATTGCCATTATTCGCCTGTGGGAGGCCGAGGTTCAAGAATATGCAGACGATCTAGTCGTTCTAGACAGAGGGAAATCTGGGGAACACTTCTCGGGAACACTCCAGGAGGAGTTAACCGCAATAGCGGATTGGTGTGGAGGGGAAGAAATGTCAATCAATCCGCAAAAAATGGTCATCGTACCTTTCACCAGAAAGAGAAGACTGGATGGGATTAAACCTCCAACAATCCAAGGTGAAAATGTACCGTTTGCAAAAGAGGCGGAATATCTAAGAATAATCTTAGATAAAACACTAAGGTGGAATCCACATCTGGAAGCACTTCTTATGAAGGCAAGGATCTGGCTATGGAACTGCCGAAGGATCTGTGGAAAGAACTGGAGAATGAAGCCTAAACAAATATTTTGGCTTTATACCATGGTTACAAGACCTATGATAACATATGGATCTGTAGCTCTGTGGGGCAAGGCAGCACAAAAAACTGTCCAAGCCAAACTGAGCGCAGTACAGAGAGAAGCCTGTATGTTGATCACTGGTGCCTTTTGTACCACACCAACTGCAGCTATGGAGGTTCTTCTTAATTTACCCCCTAGCACATATACCTGGAAGGCGAGGCAAGAAGGACATCTTATAGACTACATCATTTGTCAAATGGTATAATGAATAATACCGCTATGGAGGAGACGGACATGCTGGTGGACTTACAAAACCACCTTCTGATATAATGCCAAAGATAACAAGATATGCTAAACCATACTCAGTGACAATTCCACACAGGAGTGAGGGGGAACGGCAAGTTAACCTGATAAGGAACGGTAACTGTGCAAACACAGATGGCTCCAAGACCGAGGTAGGTGTTGAAGCTGGTATCTTCGTGCCGAAGCTAAAGATTAAAAAATCTGTTAGCCTACGAACCTGGGCATCGATCTTCCAGGCAGAGCTACTATATATGCTATAGAACTGGGTGCCAGGATGATCTCAGAACGATAACTGAGGCACAGAACTATAATAATTCTTTCAGATAGTCAAGCCACATTTAAAGCACTTGACTCCACCTACTCGACATCGAAATTAGTGTGGAATTACAAAGAAGCTCTAGGTGACAGAATGGAGGAAAATGATGTGCATCTCATATCAGGACACACAGGTCTAGAGGGAAACGAGACAGCTGACACTCTGGCAAAGAGTGGGGCTAGCAGACCCTTTATAGGACCTGATCGCATACAATTCGGCTAAAAAAATAATCTCTGGAGATGGACAGAAAGATCCATCAATGCTGGGAGGAATTAGCAGGGTTAACCCAAGCTAAGGCAACTATACCAATCTTGACAAAGAAGGTAATAGACTCTGCTTTCTGGGGCCCTGGCTTCTAATCCACCAGCGTTACCAAATCTACCTCTTCCGCTGTCACGGAGATAATTATCCCCTCTGTAGTATTCTTGATATCGGTTTCCTCCAACGTCTTCTCCAGTGACCGTATAATCAAGGTACGTACTTACATGAAAACAGCTAACGAATAAATCGGTGAATACGGTCTCAAGAAACAAACGGAAACAACCTGCCAACCTGTATTCGTTATACATACAAAATATCTATGAACCGATAAAATACGTCATCACCTGAGATAAAAGACAAAAAAAACAAATTACACAGTAAATAAAATACAAAGATCACATTCCGTTGTTCACACATTCCCTTTTAATGAAAAACCTTCTTTGCTCCTCAGCGCTGTAAGGATTACTATATGCAGGGTACGCAACAAATTTTTGTTTTTCAAAAACGATACTCAGGACCAATACCTAGGCGCCTCCATCAGGAGAACTACTTCTGGAGTAGGGTGATTGGTGTTCAACAAGTAGCTCTTCACAGCGAGGTATTCAAGTAGTAATTTGGGGATAGTTGAGAGTTGAGGCGAGGCCACAGAATGTCCGTCTGGAGCTGGAAAAACGGTTGCGCAGACGAAAGCCATTCCCCCGTTCTTCTTCAGATTGGAGTACATCTCGTAATTTGGAAAGCTAAGATGGTTAGTCGGGGCAGAATCGGAGATTTTGGTCTCCACCAAGAAAAGCACGGCTGGAGACTACAGATAGTGGCGAACAGCATCAATATAGCTGTTAATGCCGCACATGTTCGTGAAGGAAAATTATCTATACTAAGTGACATATAAATCCGAACACCCAGTTTAAATGGTTTTATTTCAATAGAATTTTGTATAAGTACTTAATGAAGCATAATAAGTAAATGATAAAAATTTCAAAATGATTGCACTGCTTTAAAGCCCTTTGACCTTTAATAATGTGTGGATGCACCCTGATGTGCTACGCATTCTCCAACGCGCCTAGGCATGCTTCTGATCAGGTGGTCAATGTCCTCCTGTGGTATCTCATTCCAGGCAACCACCAACTCCTCTCGAAGTGCTTCTAGAGTCTGAGGAGGACGTTGCAAATTGAGCAATCTCCTACCCATCATATCCCACACGTGCTCAATTGGGGATAAGTCGGGAGATCTTGGTGGCCATGGTAACAATGTGACATCATTATGTTGAAAGAAGTCTATTGTGACTCTTGCAACATGTGGTCGGGCATTATCTTGTTGGAAAGTTGGATCTGCCAGGGTGTCAAGATAGGGTAAAAGATGGGGTTCTAGAATTTCGTGGATATAACGCTGCGCGTTCATGTTACCTCTGATGAAGATTAAAGGGACCTGGAACCATAAGCTATAGCACCCCAAACCATAACTCCAACAGTGTGATGAACATGTCATTTAGTAGCAAAATACACGTACACTAAGTGACATATAAATCCGAACACCCAGTTTAAATGGTTTTATTTTAATAAAATTTTGTATAAGTACTTAATGAAGCATAATAAGTAAATGATAAAAATTTCAAAATGATTGCACTGCTTTAAAGCCCTTTGACCTTTAATAATGTGTGGATGCACCCTGATGTGCTACGTATTCTCCAACGCGCCTAGGCATGCTTCTGATCAGGTGGTCAATGTCCTCCTGTGGTATCTCATTCCAGGCAACCACCAACTCCTCTCGAAGTGCTTCTAGAGTCTGAGGAGGACGTTGCAAATTGAGCAATCTCCTACCCATCATATCCCACACGTGCTCAGTTAAGTCGAGAGATCTTGGTGGCCATGGTAACAATGTGACATCATTATGTTGAAAGAAGTCTATTGTGACTCTTGCAACATGTGGTCGGGCATTATCTTGTTGAAAAGTTGGATCTGCCAGGGTGTCAAGATAGGGTAAAAGATGAGGTTCTAGAACTTCGTGGATATAACGCTGCGCATTCATGTTACCTCTGATGAAGATTAAAGGTGACCTGGAACCATAAGCTATAGCACCCCAAACCATAACTCCAACAGTGTGATGAATATGTCTTTCAACAAAAAACTGTGGATTCCTCCTTTCACCACGTCGCCTTCTAACCCTTATACCGACGTAATCGCCTTGAGTGGTGCAGGCAACGGTCACTCTGGGATCAGGAATGGAACAGTATTGTCTTTAGTGACGAGTCTCGATTTTGTTTAGGCATGCACGATGGTTCCCCCGCACGCCACTGTTAAAGTTATAAATTATTTTTGCATTGAAAAATATGTAACTTTATTAACTTTCACTACGTACTAAATATCAGTGAAATATCTGAAGCGCAAAATATTAATTAATTTCCATTTTTTTCCTAAAACTTCAACACCCCGAGTTTTTGTAAGGAAACATTTTTGGAACATAGTTTATAAAGCAAAGTAACATCAATTTTTCATGTAGATTCACATCCTTAAATATTCGCATATCATTAAAGAACACCCTGTATGTGCGATGGCAAGACAACATCAACATGGCATCAGGTATTGTTAGAGGAGGTTTTTACTTTTTGGTTTTGAAAATAAATATTCCGACCCTAAAATCCTGGAATAAACGTATTCGAGACATTTAAAGCTTGTCGAAAGTTTTCCTTTAAATTAGGGCGGTTTCGACAGCTGTCGCAAATTGTGTGCAACTGTGCTCTCCAACCGACATGAGGCACCTCACATGGGTCAGAGAATGCGAAGGGCTGACCGAGAATTTATTAGACATGCTTAGCATCAGCTGACCTTTCTCAGATATTTTCTGTTGTTTTCTCGAATCACTCGCTTATTTTCCTTTGGTTTCGTCTGCATTCAGTCCAATAACACTCCAACACTCGTAAGTTTGACAGATTGTTGAATGACACCAAAAAAACCCTCCTCAACACTCAACAAAATTGGATAAAAAATCTCAGTAACGTTGACATCCCTCATGACATATTAAAATTTCTTTCCTTAGGGCCTAAGTTCAGTGTAGAGCCAATTGTTAACAATGACATTCCAATTAGATCAATCCTAGCGGATGTAGACACAATAGCATCCTCCATAAGTGATGACACTGAAAGAAACATTTTCACAACTCGTTCCACTAACCTCATCACTAACTACTATCATAATAACAATCTTAATAAAAAACATTCCTTTTATCACAACCTTTTAAACAAAACTAGAACATTTCTAAAACAACATCCTGAACTTATGGTTACAAGATCTGACAAAGGCAATGTTACAGTGATAATGCTTAAACAACACTATTTAGATCTTTGCAACAATCTCATCAATGATGACCCATCATATCATGAAATTAATAAAGATCCCACACTTAAAGTGGAAAAGAAAAGTAATGACATTGTTAAGGAACTTCTCAGCACTGGACAAATAACCCAAGAACAAAAAAGAACTTTGACTACTTATAACTCTGTCCCTCCCAAATTTTATGCACTTCCGAAAATTCACAAACCTGTACTCTCAGTAAGACCTATAGTTGCATCAATAGGTTCAGCCACCCAGGCTTTGTCTTCATTAATATCGACAACACTAAAATCAGCACATGCAGATAATGATTACTACATCAAAGACTCATTTGAAGTCTCTCGTCAGTTCAACAGATTGACAATACCAGCCGATCATATTATC